TTTGTGATTGTTCAGTGAGCCTTCCAAGGGATCAGCCTACTTCTCTGGGTTTGGACACAATTATTTTCATTCTGACAAAATTCCTCGTGGTGTGGAAGGAGATCACAACTATAGCTCAGGTAGATTTAAACCTTTCCTAGCCACAAGATGTTTTATTGTTTGCATCATGTCCTGCATTTTTAAAATTTTCAAAGTCAGTGGACTAAAAGACCTGATTTTCTTTTCAGAATGGTGTAGGAAGTCAGCTGTCCAGAGATATTTTTCTCTTTGTAGTACTTGTAGGAAAATAGGCAAATGTGTAAATTTTTTAAATTGTACTAAAACAGACATCATAATGAGATTATAATTTTAGAAAACAACTGGTTATGAATGAAAGACTTCTCTCTTCCCTTCCCTAATTAATTTTTAAAACCCCAACTTGGCACTTTTTCCCCCTGAAATGATACCTGTCTCTCTTTATCTGTACAAGATAGCCGTAAACCAAAATTATTCAATTAATTGAATGATGTGATTCAAATGCTATATATGTAGACTTTTATCCCATTTCTCCCTCCCACCAGTGAGGAAAAGAATTCTATGTTTAGGGGATTATACCACTAAGAACGTGAGTTTAATGTGAAGCTCAAATGATTGGCATTGACTGTTTTATCAAACAAGAATAAAATTAGAATGGTAAAGTAAATGCAACCTAGAGAAATGAGACAGAAGGCAGAAAGTGAGGAGCAAGTTTTTTCCACCGCTAGTGTTTTTGTAGTTGTTGGCCACAAAAGCATCTTTCTGAGATATTTTGCTTGGTGTGGTGGGCTGACCAAAGCAGGAGAGAGGCAGTAGGATCAAAAGCTTTCTCAGGCTTCCCAGCGACAGATACTTTCTGATGAACAGGGCTCCTAACCACTCAATGGGGCTATATGCTTTATGCCTCACTCACCACAGCTTTCTGTTGCAATCTTTGGTTTATTCACATCTAGTGAACTTGATTGTGCTTTCATTAATTGGAGAATGAAATTTTTAGTGCTTATCTATTTGAAAGTAAGCTCTTGTAACTCATGGTATGGAGTCAATTTAATAAGGGCTTTTAGAACAGAGTATTGACTATTCTTTCTTCAAAGATTAGATTTTATTACCAAATTTTGGACAGCTTTTTGTGCCTTTCTTTCTCAATGTTTTGGGTTTTTTTAATCTAGTGCCTGGTGCTACCGCATTTGCAGAGTTTGATCCAGAAGAATCGAAGCACATGCTTAAGGAAAAGAATGGCATGAGGTTCATGAACCCCATAATTAGTTACCCTTCCTAGCTCTAAGCAGTAATTAAATCTGTCACTTCTGCTCTGCTGATTCATTTATTTAGCTATTTAATTGCTCAGCTCAATACGTCTTTATCTCCGGAACTGCAACATTTTATTTAGGCTAAGGAATAGCATAACCCATTATTATTTTTTGTCCAAGGGCAGGGACGTAAAAGAAAAGAACACTAATACTAGATGATTTGGTGGTGCTGTCAGTTTTCACTTATCAAATAAAACAGTATTTAAGGGAGAACTTCAACCAGTGCTTGAGGATAGCTTTCAGTACACAGGTTTCCTTCTCCAGGAAATTATGTCAAATGAAAGGACCCAATGTATCTGATCCAGGTTTCTGTTTCCATAATGAGTTAACTTAAAGCACTTCCAGGTAATAGATAATTCTCCATAATTCTCCATAAAGTGCGTGCTGTGTTGGTAGAATATTTTATGACATTTTAAAATTGCAAATATACATTAAATTGTTTATAAACTAAATAGTATCTTTGCTGTGTACATTTCAGTTTTGGGACGTTGCTCAGTCAGGGAGATTTCTGTCATCTGTCTCTTAGATTTATCATCAAATGGAGCATTTTGATCTGAGAAGCAAATGGCATTTGGAATACTTTCACACTTGCAAAGACAACCCTTCTGAATATCCCTTTGTGAGGCATATACCCATACATACAGTTTTTCTTATGTTACATTTTCATCAGTCCTTAAGGGAGATTGCAAGATTCCTCCACCATTTCTATCCATAGGTTGGAAAAGCTGGTGTAGGAAAGCAGCATGCAAAATGAAGAGGGGCAGATCAAGACAGATCAATACAAACAGTCTTTTGGTGAAAGGAGTTTTTTTTTAAATTTTTATTTTTATAATTCTTTTTATTTCTCCTCTTTGAACTAGGGAATGACACATACAAAAATTAAAGATAAAAAACTCGCCCAGAATTCAGAGACAAGGATATTTTTCTGTCACTTCTAGCATCAGTAACTCAGTTCCACCAATTTGTTTGTCTGCCTAGCTGGCTAAATTTTTATACCATGCATACAGCCTTGCATTTCACTCCATTAGTTATTTATTTTTGCTGTCTTGTTATTCAGTCACAACTATGCAGTTATTTAAGTCATTGCTTATGTTTTTGCCAAGTAAGCTTATTATTCTAAAAATCTTCTTCTTCTTCTTCTTTTTTTTTTTTTTTTTTTGCTTACCTGGAGGGGTTTTTGTTGTTGAGGATTATGTCAGGGTTTGAGGATTATGTCAGGGTTTTTTATTCCTTCAGTGAGACTTCTGTCCACTCTTTTGCAATGCAACACATGTTTGTACTGCTGCTGTGGCCAACACAACTCAGTTGGCCCTGACTGAAATAGAGGCAGGACCCTGTGTAAAGACCAGTCAGTGGAACTGGCAGGGTTAATTAGCCATATTGCATGGAACACCTTGGAAATTCAGCTGGATCTATTTCCATTACCCTGGCTGCTGTGCTGGGCTGCACAGACTTGCACCATGCCTGTGCCAGAGTGAGGACCTCTGCTTCCCTGTCCCCCGTCATCAGGGAGGGCTTTGTCAGCCCACAGGCTGGCAGCTTTGGCCCAACAATGCTCAGTCTGTGTTGTTCGTGTTGGTGTTGTTGTTTTGCATCTGTGCACTCGGGGTTACTCACAGCTCTTTGTTGAAATAAAGAATATTTCTCTTTCTGCTGAATCTAGGAAGTCTGGAAATCTTGTGGGCAGTTTAGTTCTTGCAAGCCTGCATATAAGATTTTTGGACTAGGGTTTTGTATGAGCTTCACTTAAATATTCTTTCTTTTAAATCAAGTGATCTTCTAAAAGTACACTCTTTGTTACACTGGGCATATGTTCAAATTCAGGGAATTAATAAAGCAGCAAAAACCCTCTGTGACATCCTTTGTGGATAAAGGTGCTTTGAGAATAAGTCTGTATGTGAATTGGTTCAGTTTAAGAAAGCGGTGTTCACTGCGGCATCACAAACAAGTGTGATCAGAAGAGGGCATGGGAATGAAATAGGAAAAATAACATGTATTTGTAATAGAAGTTGATTTTTTGAGTTGATGGAAACCTGACACAGGAAAAGAGGGTTAATTTCAGATGGCCTTTATCTCGGTTCTAAAAGAGCATGCGGTTGGTCAATAGGATTAACTACTTTTACACAGATTTGTACATAAACATTGAGGCACGAGACTTGGACGTGAGCTGAGTGCCCTCCCTTTGCAATGATTACATTCTTGAACAACGTCTGGAGAGGGAATTAGGTGACAGTGGCTATTGGCTTCCCCTCAGATGAACCTAGCTATTGTCATCTGGCCATCAACAGACTGGAAATTACTATCTCGAAGGCACTGCAGAGTTTACAAGCAGCCTTGTGGGACCAAAACCACTCCCTTCTCCCACTCTGCCCTCCCCATGCTAGAGCCAGGGCATCCAGCTACTTACACAGTGTGAACTGGGCATTTGTGAAGTGATGTACAAGTCCAAAGTCCAGGCACTGCTGGAGAAGGCACTGTGCTTGATCAAGGGTGTGTTGGCTTTTTGTGAGTTGTGTTGTTTGTTTGGTTTTTGGTTTCTTGTTAGTTTTCAACTGCAGTTCACTGTATAGTTAGAAACCTCAGGCTGTAGTTTCTCCTCACTCAAAGCACTGGAATAATGTTAGTGTAAAATGTGTCTAAATCAAATTACATTAAATCCTCCAGTTTCATATAAATGCACCCATCTGTACTGTATTAATATATTGGTTTACTTATTGGTGTATTGGGAACTTCTTGTTAATGTTTCAAATAACAAGGTAAGCCACCGCCTGTACTATTTGTGTGAGGCACCATATGTGTGGGGTTGGAGTCTACCTCTGCCCAGCGCTGGTCAGTCAACTTGGTTATATAAGGTGCACAGACTTGGGTACCTATAAATATTAGCGAGCAGCTGTCACAAAGGGATTGTGAACGAGCTGCTCTGGACCTTGAAAACATAATAGCTTGGCACCCAGAAATACACAACTTTGATAACATACTACGAGGTCACGTATTGGGGGGAGAGGGTAAGGAGGTGGCGACTGCTTTTAATCGTTGTCTCTTTTATAAGAAACAACCTCATTTTCTTGCTTTGTGTTTCTGGTATACATCGGATATGTATATTTTTTATCACATTAGGATATGACATTCCTGGCCTTGCCAGTGCTTTTGTTTGGATATTTATAGCAGCTTCTGGTCATTGTTGAGCAAAGGCGATTGCCCTGCCCTCTGGCCCTTTCTTAAGCAGATTTTGGGCAGAAGCTCCTCTCGTGTGGCACTAATTGAAGTGACTAGTGGAGGGGGTGTTGTGAGCACACTTGTGCTGATTTGCCAGGGTCTAAGCCAAGGGAGGAAGAGAGGATAAAACAGGAGAAGGGAGGAAAGAGGAAGGGAAAAAAAAAAAAAAAAAAAAAAAAAAAAAAAAAAGCCGGGCTTTGCCTCGCTCCGGCAGAGCAGAGGGCTGCGAGGGCTGCCGGCCATCTGTCCGCGCAGGGCGGCACGGCGGGAGCTGCGCCGGGGCGGCGGGAGCGGAGCCGCTCCGCAGGTGGGTGCGGGCCCGCGGGGGGCGCGGGGGGCCGCGGGGCTCTTTGTGTGCGGCGGGCCGGGAGCCGAGCGGGCCCGAGCGGCCGCGCTGCCGGCCCGGGACGGGCAGCGCCGGGCCGCGTCGGGAAAACTCTGGTTGTACAAGCCCGAAACCCAACAAGTTGCGGTAGAAGTGCTCCGTGCGGAGATGGGGCGGGTTTGTCCGCCGCGCGAGTGAGCGGCGCTGAGGGAGATCCGTGAGGGACTGTCAGTCGGGACAGTGGGCTGCCCTCGGGTGAGGAGCCCCGCCTGAGCCGGGGCTCCGGCGCTCGGAGGCGGTAAGATCGTCCGGAGCCTGCTCGGTGTGTGTGTCCGTGTGCCCCCGGTTAATGGTTTCCTGCAAGTTTAACGTGGAGCGAGGAGAGGCCGAGGAAGACCACAGGGGTTGCGGAGGGATTAGGAAGGCAGAGGTTAGTAAGTTTCTGACGTGCATCGCTGACAGAAGCAACCAATTTGGAATATTGTCCCATATTTTGGAATTTGTGTTGGCATTGGAAGTTTTCACGTTTCGTTCAACCGTTGATGTTTCTGGAGGCTTTTCTTGCTGTTGTTTTTAAGTTGCTGTGTAAACAGCGCGAGTAAACAACCGGGTTGTCGCTCAGCGAGTTGTGCCGTGGGGGAAAAGTGAACTTCGAAATGTGTGTATCCTAAAGAAAAGTTCGAAAATATCCAGTAGTTTTAAATTAACAGTAATAATAGAGGAATCCGGGCTTCATACCTCTTTACTATGGACATTAGTATTATTATTTTTGAAGATGAAAGAAAAATTGTTCCTGTGCGCCTAAAATGATGTTTTAATGTCCTTTATGCATCTGTTAGAATGTCCTGATAGTGGGTATGGTTATGTTTAGTGTACGGCTTGTATTTGTGTTTCTGATAACCTTCCTAGTGCCACTGGAAAAATAAACACTCCGTAAACGCACATTACCTAAACATATTTTAGCAGCTCAGGCATAAATTATAGGCAGCAAAATGCAGGCATAACTGGCAATTCCTTGGCATGTCTATCTTCAAGAGTTAAAAAGAAATAGTTAGCCGTGTGTGTACCATCCAGTCTAGCTGTAGGTCTTGTTTGTTTCTTTTGTATATGGCTCTAGAAGTAGAACAATAGTGAAAAATGGAGTTGATCAGCTGGTAATCCATTTGTCCATAGCTTATCCCTAAAAAGATTCATGGTGCAAAGTTCATGAACTATCACTGAGAATGGTTCAAAGCTGAGTCCAGGAACTGGCCTTGCTGAAATCCGTTAAGAGTTTATAAAAATGAACTGAAAAGCTGAGGTTTTCTTCCTCATAAACCTCTTAAGAAATATGTCTATCTAGTATGCTACTCACTGTATCCAAGGCAAGGGGAAACCTTGATGAATCATGTGGATATTGCTCCATACTCTCCTTATCTATAATCAGGCGAACAAAAATATTTTTACTTTCTTTAGTCTGGAATAGCTGGTTTCTTACAGAAGACCTTGCCTTCTGTCTTTCTCTCATCTGTGTCCTTGCTGCAAAAAAACAAGTCCTCAAGAATATAAGCATTTGTTTTACTGATTATATTTCTTATCTCTCCTGCCTTCCAATTTATGCTGGTTTGAATATTTCTGTAATATTGAAGTCAAGTTGCCATTACTTCCTTCAAGGACCCTATTTAAACACATTTGTAGAGTGTGTGCGTTATGATAACGTGTAGCGCCATGGATATATTTAATTTTATTCTTCCATGGCTCCATTTATTTCTCTTGTTACTTCAGAGAAGCAAGAAACATGATGAATGCTCCATTAGTGGTATTGGTAAGAAATACATTAATGCGAGTGCACGGTCAGTAAGAAAGTGTTTTTATTTGAAAGCCTTCTCGTACCAGACAGCGTACTAATAATCATAACCTGTGCCACATATCTTCAGTGCTAGATTGCATTTGCTTTTAGGTTCTTTATAAATACAGCTTTTATTCAGGATAGCTGCATTTTCACCAAATGCCCAGGCTCCTTGCTCCTTTTCAGCCTTTGCAGCCTCTGAGTGCTGCGGGAATTTGCTGGGCAAAGGACTGGGTGTCCGTGGGGCCGGCAGTTCAGGATGCTGCACTTCTCAGAAGCCAGCCTCGGTATTGTAGGACACCGAGGTCTGATAATAAAGTCAAGTGAAATGTGGTTTTAAAATATAAGCCAAATCCGAAGACTGCTGTGTTGGTTGGATACCCAAGAGCAAGCTGGAATAGCCACTGTGACAGATAACTGAAAATGCGGTGAGCGACTTTTGCAAGCCATGAGGGATAGCACTCCGTTTTCTGCACGTGAAGCCGCTTTCCACGGATCCGTACCAAGGCAGGAAGCTGTCCTGGTGAAAGGACAGGGGTTCATATCCCTCATGCTCAGTATCCAGGCAGAAGGACAGGACATGGGAGAGCAGAGGGTGAAGTGGCTGTCCTGCTTAGGAGTGCTGTGAGCCTGGGTCCAAGCCTGCTGGGCAGGGACAATTCCAGAGAGACCCTGCAGCAGGACAAGAGTGTATCACTGCAGCTGAAAGTTGTGGAGCACCTTGCAGAGCTGATGGGGGATGTGACTTCACCCACAAGTGTGGGTGGCAGAAGTGGAAAAGAGGTATTTGTGGGAGGCAAGGGTTTTGGAGTGTCAGATGTTCTGGCAAAACACATGGTGGTCATGGTGTCATGTTTTTAAGGTAGAAGAGGGATCAGAGGTCTGGTGGAGCAAGCAGTAAAGGCAGGCGGATGACATGAGCAGCCAAAGGTCTTAATGCTACCACAAGGAGGCTTTGCAGCTGGATGGATGACCCAGTTTGGGTGCTTTGGAAAGAGTGAGTCAGGAGCTGGGAAGAACCATTGAGGATCCTGTTTGTCATCATGGACCAAGGAGGAAGCATTGGGCAGCTGAGCTGAGGGCAGATGACGTGCAGTAATTATAACTGGGGTGCAGCACAAGAGCTGACAGCCAGGAGACCAGGCACAGTGATTAATCTTTAGCCTCCTCTGTGGCATATGTGACATTGGGAAGACAAACTTAGAGTTCAAAGCAAAATTTAAGGGTAGCAACCAAAATGATTCTGTAGCACTGAAGCTTTACTCTGTTTTTATTGCCCCAAGATTTTCAGTTAGTGGGATCTCCACCTTCAGATGTTTAAAACAACACCATGGTTGGGGATTGTAGAATGCACAGAAATTAATTTTCATAGACTTTGCCAGATCATTTTTCTTTAAGAGGGACCTAGTTGCACTTTTAATAACAGATGCACTCTGTTGTAATCATTTGCTAAGCAACAGGCTCACTGTGCTGCCTATGAAGCACAAAAGCAAGGGACGCTTTGACACGTCACGTAAAGCTTACATAAAGTTTGTGAGCAGCAGCAGAAAGAGTGAGTGATGAATGCTCTTGGTTTTGTTCCTTATGTGAAAATAGTTTATAGTTGGGTATTTTTCTCTGCTGGCTGCCATCAGCAATAGAAGTATCAACAGGAGAAAAATGGGTCGCTTGGGTTTTAGCATTAAGCAGCAAATCCAGGGCCAATAGGATTTAGCTGGGATGTTAAGGTTTATTCAGTGCATTTAGTTAATGAAGTTGGGGAGGGGAGGAAGAAGGAAAAAGTCAGTGTCTGGGCTTGGGGGAAGGGATGAAATAGCCTGCTGCCACTGAGTGCATCCTATGGTGACTCCTCCTGATTGATAGATGCTCCACAAAACAAAAACAACTCAGCAAAGGAGGTTTTAATTAAAAAACAGCAACTCAATGCCAGCTCTTTTGGATTAAAAACAAGCAGAAAATCTTTGTAACAGACATCTACTTGGTCTTAAGGGTGTGTGTGTTTACCCCTAAAGGTGCCGTGCCCATCAGCTGGTGAGAGGGAAGAGGGAGATAATAATATGTGCAAGCATCCTTGAAGTGGCCATAGAGCCATGGGGATATTCAGCAAGAGCAATTGTATGTTAATATTCATCAGTGAGGCACAGAAGTCAAGTTCAGGCTAACAAACTCCCTTTTGAGCATTTTGCCAGATTCCTAGCAGACAGCCCATCATCCCCTAAGCACAGGGGTGGCCCTTCGCTGGGCTCACCCGTATTCTGAAGCCTTTGTGTCCCCTGCCAGAGGCTGTCATCTTGTGTACACACATGCTGTTCAGCATCTTGACTTGCTTTCTGAGCCCTGAAAGCCCTCAGCACAGAGACACAAAAAACAATTAGCATAGAAAGTCATTGTTATTTAAAATATAAAGGGCTATTATCTATATGCACAGAAAAATTTGCAAACCAACATGAATTGATCTCTTCCCCCAAGGGAGTTAGTTTGTTGGGTTTTTTAATTCTGGTTCTCTGATTCTGGCTCCCACTTGGGTCAGACCTTGTTTTCCTCAAAGCTGTAATGGTCATTTAGAGTTGGATGAAGTTTTTTTCTCCTTTGCACCTCCTCAGAGGTCTGTGCTTGACCATAGTGTCTCAACGCTGCTGGGAGTCATTGAGCAGCAATTCACACTGTCAAGACTCAGCCAGTGACCTCTGCAGACTTTTCCTCCTATGTGCGATGTGGGCATTGGTAGCAGGATCTGACTAACAGTATAAAATAAATAAGCAGCAGGTTTGCAAAATTTATAAATGTACCTGTTGTTCTTGGCGTAATCTAGTTGCTCAGACAGCCTATAGCTTGATACAATTCTGTGAGGAGGATGCTGCAATATTTCTTAGCAGGATTTAATGCAGTGACACCTGAAAACTTTCACAAAATGGTCTGGAGAAAAACTTGAATGTGTGATTTTTTGATAGGTTTTTTGTTGGGTTTTTTTTTTTTTTTGATCTTACAAACTTTTTATATTAAATATTTTCAAATCATAGTTTAAAAATAAAGTAGTGAAAATGCTTAGGAAAACACTATACAGAGTAGTTTAGGCACATGTCTGTGATATGAAAGAAAGAATTTGATTTCATTAAAATTAAACACACCAACACAAGGACTTGACTGTGATGCTTACAGTAGGCCTTTATGAATGTTCAGCCAATTTTTAGAAAATGGGGGTGGCTGTGTCAGAACAGCAGTCCCAGGCACGGCAGCAGGAGTCTGGGCAGCTGCACACAGAGAATGTGGAGGTCTAGGAAAATACTCTGTCATCTTTTATGTACAAATAGGTATATGTTTGTTGGTAAACGAATACAGATGTTATTGCTGATCTTAGTATTTTATGAAATGAAAACAGTCTGATTGTCTCAGTGGCAACAAGGGAAGTATATTATCCCACATGCGGTGCATGCTACAGAAAAGTGAAGAGGGGTACATCCCTCCAAAAATGAATACTTTTTGATACATCTACATGGTAATTAAGTGTTTGGTGCAATGCCCACACCATCTAGTCCGGTATTTATGGTGGCCTATTACCTTTACCACTGTTGGCATATTTTTTTTTGTCAGTGGGCAGTAAA